TAGACTCAAAGTTAAAGGATGGAAAACAATTCTACAAGCAAATGGACCAAAAAAGAAGGCAGGAACAGCTATACTCATATCAGATAAAACAGATTTCAAACTTAAAAAGATAAAAAGAGACCCCAGTGGTCATTACATTATGATCAAGGGGACAATACTTCAAGAAGAAATAACACTCATTAACATATATTCACCAAACGAAGGAGCACCAAAATATATCAGACAACTATTGGCATCTCTGAAAACAGACATCAGAGAAAACACATACGTAGTGGGAGACTTCAACACACCACTATCAACAATGGATAGATCAACAAGACAAAAAATAAGTAAAGACACTAAAGCTCTAAATAAGGATCTAGAGTGCTTGGGCTTAACAGACATCTATAGAACACTAAACCCAAAAAAATCTGAGTATACATTTTTCTCAAGTGCACACGAATCATTCTCTAGGATCGATCATATATTGGGGCACAAGACAAACATCAACAGATACACCAAGATTGAAATCATACCAACCATCTTTTCTGACCATGAAGGCGTCAAACTAGAAATAAACCATAAAAAGAAGGCAAGGTACTCTCCTACCTCGTGGAGATTGAAACCCACACTACTGGAAGACCACTGGACTAACAAGGAGATAAAAGAAGAAATTAAAAAATTCTTTGAATTGAATGACAAGGAGGACACCAATTTCCTAAATGTATGGGATGCAGCAAAAGCAGTAATAAGAGGAAAATATATAGCAATAGATGCTCACATCAAGAAACAAGAAAGAACTCAAAGAAACAACCTAATCTCGAAGCTCAAAGATCTAGAAAAAGAACAACAAAAAAACCCCAAAACCAGTAGAAGAAAAGATGGGCCTCCCCGGTGGCGCAGCGGTTGAGCGCTGGGTTGCGAAGCTGCCCGCAGCCTCTGCAGCGCCGGTTCGATCCACGGCTGCTCCCCGGCCGCCGGAGGAGGGTCCCACATGGCGCGCAGACCTCTCCTGCTGCCCGCTGCTCCCCTCAGCAGTGTACTTCGGTCCTTCTGCCTGCTCTGCTCCCCGCTCTGGCTCTGGTGAATTCTCTCACCCTCCCGCGCTTCTGACTGTACCCAGTGCTTGTCTAAATAAATAAATAAATCTTTAAAAAAAAAAAAAAAGTTTAAAAAAAAAAAAGAAATAATAAAAAACAAAGCAGAAATAAATGAAATCGAAACTAAAAAAACAATCCAAAAGATCAATGAAACCAAGAGCTGGTTCTTCGAAAAAATAAATAAAATAGACAAACCCCTAGCCAGGCTCACAAGGGCAAAAAGGGAGAAAGCACAAATAAATAGGATAATAAATGAAAGAGGAGAAATCACAACGGACACAGCAGAAATCAAAAGAATAATTAATAACTACTATGAACAGTTATATGGAAACAAGTTCAACAATCTAGAGGAGATGGACAAATTCCTACAACTCTACAATCACCCAAAGCTAGATAAAGAAGAAATAGTACACCTAAACAGACCAATTACAATTAGCGAAATTGAAATGGTAATCAAAAACCTCCCCAGAAACAAAAGCCCAGGACCTGATGGATTTACAAATGAATTCTACCAAACATTCAGAGATGAATTGGTGCCTATCCTTCACAAACTCTTCCAAAAAATTGAGAAGGAAGGTATAATACCTAACACGTTCTATGAAGCCAACATTACACTAATACCAAAACCGAACAAGGACAACACAAAAAAAGAAAACTATAGGCCAATCTCCCTAATGAACACTGATGCAAAAATCCTCAATAAAATTTTAGCTATCAGAATCCAACAGTGTATCCATAAGGTAATTCACCACGACCAAGTAGGATTCATTCCAGGGACACAAGGATGGTTTAACATCCGAAAATCAATCAACGTTATCCAACACATCAACAAAAATAAATATAAAAACCATATGATAATATCAATAGATGCTGAGAAAGCTTTCGACAAAGTGCAACACCCATTCATGATAAAAGCCCTTGAAATTCTTGGGATACAAGGAACGTACCTCAACATCATAAAGGCCATCTATGACAAGCCAACAGCCAGTATCATTCTCAATGGTGAAAAGCTGAAAGCAATTCCATTAAGATCTGGAACAAGACAAGGATGTCCACTGTCACCACTGCTTTACAATATAATACTGGAAGTCCTAGCCAGAGCAATAAGACAAGAGAAAGACATCCAAGGAATCCAAATAGGAAAAGAAGAAGTCAAACTATCACTCTTTGCAGATGATATGATAATATACATAGAGAACCCCAAAAACTCCACAGAAAAATTAATTCAACTCATCAATCAGTTCAGTAAAGTGGCAGGTTACAAAATCAACACGCAAAAGTCAGTAGCCTTCCTATATACAAACAATAAATCTGAAGAAGAAAAAATCAAAAAAAACATCCCTTTTATTATTGAAACAAAAAAAATCAAATATTTGGGAATAAATCTAACAAAAGAGGTAAAGGACCTATACAAAGAAAACTATAAAACACTGTTAAAAGAAATAGAAGAAGACACAAAGAAATGGAAAAACATCCCCTGCTCATGGATTGGGAGAATAAACATTATTAAAATGGCCATCCTACCAAAAGCAATATACAGATTCAATGCTATTCCAATCAAAATTTCAATGTCATTCTTCAAAGAAATAGAACAATTATTGATGAAATTCATATGGAATCACAAAAAAACCCTGAATAGCCAAAGCTCTCCTGAAAAAAAAAAGAAGGAAATGGAGGCATCACACTCCCAGACTTCAAACTCTACTACAAAGCCATAATCATCAAAACTGCATGGTATTGGAACAAGAACAGACACACAGACCAGTGGAATCAAATAGAAAATCCAGAATAAACCCACAGATTTATGGTCAACTAATATTTGACAAAGGAGCAAAGACTATGCATTGGAGCAAAGAAAGTTTGTTCAATAAATGGTGCTGGGAAAACTGGGTCGCTACATGCAAAAGAATGAAGCTTGACCACTACCTCACACCATATACAAAAATCAACTCAAAATGGATTAAAGAACTAGACATAAGACCTGAAACCATAAAATACATAGAAGGAAATATAGGCGAAACACTACGTGATTTGCATATCAAAGACATTTTACAGACACATTACCCAAAGCAGTGATAGTGAAGGCAAAGATCAACAGCTGGGACTACATCAAATTAAAGAGCTTCTGCACAGCAAAAGAGACAATAACAAAAACAAAGAGAAACCCCACCAACTGGGAGAAAATTTTTGCACACAACACTAATGATGAAGGACTGATCACAAAAATCTGCAAAGAGCTGATGAGACTCAACAACAACAAAGAAAATAATCCAGTCAAGAAATGGACAGAGGAGCTAAAAAGAAACTTCTCTGAAGAGGAAATGCAAATGGCCAACAGGCATATGAAAAAATGTTCAACATCACTTGCAATCAGGGAAATGCAAATCAAAACTACCATGAGATACCATCTTACACCAGTGAGAATGGCACATATTAAAAAAACTAGCAACAACAAATGTTGGCGAGGTTGTGGAGAAAAAGGAACTCTTCTGCACTGTTGGTGGGAGTGCAAACTGGTCCAACCACTATGGAGAGCTGTGTGGAGATTTCTGGACCTACTAAACATAGAGCTTCCACAGGATCCAGCAATTCCACTCCTAGGTATTTACCCAAAGGACACAGAAACATCAATTCCAAAGAACACCTGCACCCCTATGTTTATAGCAGCACTATTTACAATAGCTAAGCTTTGGAAACAGCCCAAATGCCCAAAAATAGATGACTGGATCAAGAAGATGTGGTACATATATACCATGGAATATTATTCAGCATTCAAAAAAGATAAACACATGCAATTTGCAGCAACATGGATGGCGCTGGAAGGGATCATGCTCAGTGAAATAAGCCAAAAAGAAAAAGAAAAATACCGGATGGTCTCACTCATAGCAGGAATCTAGAATACTTAAATAAGGGACCAGGAAAATGAATAACTATAAGAAAGTGAAAATCAAAATCAACAAAAACTATGAACCAGAGACACTTTTTGGGGGTGGGGGGGCGGGAGGGGAGGGATTGGGGTCAGAATGGGGGGATTGCAAATGTATGAGGAATATAAAAATAAAATTTATTAATTAAAAAAATATATATATATATGCTTTCATTAAAGTAGTAAGTTTCTCATTAGCTATTTCTCATTTTTCTCCATTTTGTTATTTAGTAGTTGCTAGGTAACTAAAATTTAATAACCAAGGGTTGGGAATTTTTGTCCTCAGAATAGTTTTGATTTTGTTTTGCTACAGTTTTCTTTTTTCATATTAGTTCTATTTTATAGTGAAATTTTGTATTAATTCTTTGAAAAATGTGAAATTTACTTCAAAGTGTCATGTAACATATAGCTTAAATTTCTTTTCCTTCCTGTTTTTTCAACCTGTTATTATAGTGCTTCATTGTTCCCTGTTTAACCTAAGTTAATTTTAAAAATCAGTTTATTGTACAGTAACCAATACATGGCTTTTAAACTTCTGATTCAGTCTTACTGTACAAATACGTAGTTATTATGTATATGTGTGTTCATGTAGCTTATCTTAAACTCTGCCTAGCTACTTCATGGCTTCTATAAATCATTTCCTAGATTTTTCATCTCTAAAACCCATGTTTATAGTACATAATTCTTATTTCTTTTTTTGAGTGTGTTGATTTTTTACCTTTCCTTCTCAAATAGTTACCACCAGGACATGGAATGTTCTGATAAAATAGATGTAAAGATGATTATGTTTTTTTAACTTCTTGTTTGTTGGTTGGTTCCTTGGATATTGGGGTATATATAAAAAATGTCTTTTACTAACTCATCCCCATTAATTTTCTTTGATTTAAATGCAAATATTAAAATTGTTTTATTTCTGTATACTTCAAACCTCCCTTTAAAGACTCTTTTTTGAAAAGGATGGCAAAGATAGTTTGCATTTTTCTCTTCACTTCTAGGCCCATAACGTCCATGGGATCAAAGACTAAGAGAGCCCTGCTAACTCCCCTCATCCATTCCCCTCGCCCGTTCCGGGTCTCCAACCATGACAGAAGCAGCCGGAGAGGGGTGATGGCAAACAGTCTGGAGGAGCTTCTCAGCAAGGTGCATGAGCCAGAGTCTCCCACAGTTCACAGAGGTGCCCCGAGCCACACAGAGCCGTAGGCATGTGTGCAGAGCCAACATGAAAACAGAAATGTCAATGCTGTGGTCTTGGAGAGTGTGAAGGGAGCTATTTCCAAGTGATTAAAGGAAAAATAAAAGAATGAAAGGAAACATAATTTCTTTTATAATTTAGGTATAGACAAAAACCTTAAAATGAATCATCAATTGATACTGTCACTTTATTTTGTTCACAAGGGAAAATACAGGCAAGCAGCAGGTTTTAGAAATCTGTTTTTAATTATTAAACCCAGGGGTGAATACTCCTTAATCTAAAACAGTGTCCTAAGTAATCAAAGAAGGAAAAACACTGGACTGTCATGGAGGTTTGACCCAAGGACTCTCACAGAAATGAGAAATGAGCTTCCAACACGCAGTCTGTGAAGCAAGAGAGAAGTGCATGTATGCCAAATGAGGTTGGGCTCTTTAGCTATTGTATTGCAGGATTATGTTTATATTTATTGAAATAAGGAAGTGATTTGAGAAATAATTCAACATACTTGCTTATGTCATCATTGAAAGCCTGAACAAGTTATACTTATTTGAAATCTTAGTTTCTCCTTTTCAAGCAAAGACTGGGTCATAGTCACCAGTGAAGGTATATCTTTAAAGTTTTATCAAAATTACTGAACCCTTTTAAAACTGTAACTTCATCTATGTCATTGACTAGTCAAAATGGAATCTCTTGCTTCATCTCATGTCTCTGATTATGTTGCCCATCTAGACCCTGGAGGCCCTTGTTATCACCACTGGCCTGGTCACTTTGGTGCTAGAAGAGGATGGCACTGTGGTGGACACAGAGGAATTCTTTCAGACCTTAGGAGACAACACACATTTCATGGTCTTGGAAAAAGGACAGAAGTGGACACCGGTAAGCAAAACACACATCCAAACAGCCACAAGGGAGACCTTTTACCTACAAGGAGCAATCCCTAGTTTTGAATTGACTTGCCCTCTTTCTAAATATTTACTTTGTATTCACCAAATGACCGGATCTACCACCCTCAGAGGGATTCTATTTTAGATTAAGGACTATTCTAGAAACTTAGCACCTTTGTGAATTTGAGTTATATATTTAAAGTAAATAATGCTGTGTGGCAGGCTTTGGCTAGTGAGTAGCTATAGATCCTATTAAAATGCATAGCTATGAACTGGTAGTTGTCATAACTTTTCCTCTTTCATATCTAATTCTATTTATTAAGATTTTCTCTTTTCTTTATGAGACTACCTAAAGTTTTATTGATTCTATTTATCTTTTTGAGTTTGTATCATCTTTTTGGTTTTAACTTCATTATTTCTTCATTATTATTTAATTTCATTATTTAACATCATTATTTCTAATTTTTATTATTTCATTTCTTTTATTAACTTTTGAAATTTTTTTTCTTTTTCAAGTTGTTTTAGGAGCAAGGGTGAATTTTTCATTTGATATTTTTCTTATTTCTTAATCTAGGCCTGTACTACACTTAATTTCTTTCTTAGTACCAATTTTGCTGCATCTCCTAGATTCTTACAATTTATATCTTCATTTTCATTTGTCATCAGGTCCTTTTAAATTTCTTCATTGACCCAGTCATTATTAAGAAGCATGTTGTTTAATCACTATGTGTTTGAGGTTTTTCCAGGGATTTATTTTTTATGGTTAATTTCTAGTTTTAAAGCATTTTGATCAGAAAAAAATACTGGTATTACTTCAATTGTTGACACTTGATTTGTGTGCCAACATATGGTTTATCTTTGAAAATATGCCATGTGCACTTGAAGAAAATGTAAATTCTGCTTTTTTATTACAGCCTTTTTTTCTATGATTATTAGGTCCATCTTATGTAGTTTGTTGTTGACGGTTATTTTTTCTGTATTCATTCTCTCTCTTATTAATCTGTTCATAGTTGTAAGTATCTTGTACTTTGGATGGCTCTTTTACCAGGGATGATCTTATAATATCATGTATTGGCCATTTAGAAAATGTATAGTGCAAAACTCCTCTATTCATAAGGAGGCAAATTACATCTTCATGTTTATTATGAAAATTGTTTTGGGGCCTCCCCAGTGGCGCAGTGGTTGAGCGCTGGGTTGCGAAGCTGCCGGCGACCTCTGCGGCGCCGGTTCGATCCCCAGCTGCTCCCCGGCCACCTGAGGAGGGTCCCACATGGCGCGCAGACCTCTCCTGCCGCCCGCTGCTCCCCTCAGCAGTGTGCTTCGGTCCTTCTGCCTGCTCTGCTCCTCGCTCTGGCTCTGGTGAATTCTCTCACCCTCCCGCACTTCTGACTATACCCAGTGCATGTATAAACAAAACAAACAAACAAACAAATAAATAAATAAAACATGCCTCTATTAAAAAAAAAAAAACATTAAAAAAAAAGAAGAGGTTCTTAGACCTCATTAAAAAAAAAAAAAATTGTTTTGGCTTCAGGGTCTCAAGATCCCCAGGTATCTCCAAACTACACTTTGAGAACCTCTGCATTTAATCACTTATAGATAATTCAAATATCTACAAAATTAGCAATATAATGTTTTATCTATACATACAAATTTTTTAAAAGACAGGCATAAAAATAAAATTTAATTTAAAAAGTATGGGACTGATGTGCACTTAAATGGTTTCCTCTTGAGGGGACTGAGGAATATAATTGGGAAGTAATACACAAGTGATAATTGGTTGATAATGTTTCATTTTATGCAGAGTAGTGTGCATACCTATCATCTTATTGCTCTTTATTTTTCTATAAACTGGCATCTATTGTATGTGAACTCCTGACTGGGCCTTTGGGAGCAGGCCTGGAGCCTGAGGACCCCAGGTAGGTTTTTTCTCAGTTCTTGTTTTTGGTGAGGAAAGAATTCAATGTCAAGGCCAAAGTTACAGAAAAGCAAGAGGTTTGTTGATAGAAGGATAGGAAAACTCTCTGAGCAGAGAGGGGTCCCAAATGGGTAGCTGCTGAGGGGCCAAAAAGCAGTTGCTTACATGGGTACAATAGGCAAGGAGTGGATGTTGGCCATTGGGTGTGTCTCATTGTTTCTCTTGCTGATGGCTGGACGTGGGGTCTCCTAGGCTACGGGGCCCACTGAGTTTGAGCACATTACCTGGTTTATCTTCCTGAAACTATGGTTCATTGCTCTAGCATTGTATTATGGTGTTGGTGTTCTGGATATTTCATTCTTTACTGGGTTGGAGGGAGTGGCACCCCCCTGGTCCAGAGTTGCTCTCCAATCAGACTGATAAATGGGCTTGGGGTACCCTGTTCCTCACTGATTGCCTATACCCATTTCCTAGCTTCCTCTTTCATGCCTCTACATAGCAAACACATCATAGTTTTTCTGACTGAAAGAAATAATACAAATAAAATCACAAAAATTAAAATACCCTTGGGGCCTCCCTGGTGGCACAAGGTGGTTAAGCACCGTGCTATGAAGCAATCCGCAGCTACTGCAGCACAAGTTCGATCCCCAGCCAGCCAGGGAGCAACCCAATGGTGCAGCAGACCTCTCCTGTCTCGCCTGCTTCTCCCCTCGGCAGTGTATTTCAGTCAGTCTGCCTGTTCTGTTCCCCACTCTGTCTCTGGTGAATCCTCTCACCCCCCACATCTCTGGCCCCAGCTCTTGTATGCATAAATAAATAAATCTAAAAAAAAATTAGTTTAAAAAAAAAATTAAAATACCCTTAAAGCTGATGAAAGTCATACCTATGGGTTGTAACATGATGGGCTAAATTAGACAACTCTTTCAAAAGACAATATTGGGCTGTACTGCTTTTTGTTTGAGGAAAGTATTTCAGGAAGAATAATGATACCCCAAAGGTGTACATATCTGAGTCTCTGGATTTTATGAATATAGCAAAAAGGGACTTGCAGACGTGATTAAATTGAGGTTCTTGACATGGGAGCTGATTGAGCCACCTGGGGAGTCAGTGTCGTCACAGGGTACTTCTAAGAGGACGGGAGTGATGAGAGCAGGGGTGAAGGCAGAGGAAGAGCATGAGTGATGTGAGGAGGCACCATAAACCAAAGGCAGAGTTTATTCCATTTATTTGTTTTATGAATGAGACACCTAGTTAAATGTGACATGTAGATGCCCCCAGAATGTGTGCACAAGGGGTCACGGAGCTGAAGAACAAGGAGTGACAGGATGTAATGGAAGTGGATGACGCTATGATGTGACCCGTTCAAGGTGAGGTGTGGGGCTAGTGACAGCCTGGTTAGCAAGTGAGTGAGAGGGACTCTTCTCCTGATTTAGTTTCCAACCATCTTCCTTAGGTGGAGATGGGCCCCTCATAGCTGATATAGAACCTGCTCTGCGTGTTGGTGTTTTTATTTGACTGAACAAGAACTTTCAACAACAACAACAAAAAAAATTTTCCAATCAAGAAATAGCCACAAGAGGTCTCCTTTCTTCAGTCTAAAACCTTTAAAGCCTGTGAGGAAGCAGTTTCTCAGAGCACTTCAAGAGGGAGGTCAGAGTGTCCTTCCTTAGTGGGTTAGAGAAGTCCAGGTGCCTGGGATTAGGTGGCAGCTGGATTAGCCTTGTGAGGGCATCTTGATGTTGACTGAAGACCACACTCGAGGAAAACATTTAGGGTAAGCAAGTTAAAGACTTTCAAAAATCAAAAGGAATGTGAGGTGATGAAGAAGGGTTGTGGCAGAATTGTAAGTAAAAACCCTTTTGATTCTGTAATCAATATTCAGAAATACAGTTTCCCAAATGATGACTAGTTACCACCCTCTGAAGAGGCAGTAGAATCCCTTGTGCATTAAACATTGGGCCATAAGCAAAAGCTCTATACATGTGTATTCTGAGAGGTAAAAAGAAGAGCAGCTTTAGTGAGCAGGGTTAGGGTACTTTTAGGGGAATATAGGTTTTAACTTCAAATATAACAAATTATTGTAATTATGAATTTAATCTTCATAACCTCAACACTCCCACCTCTAAAGATTCCAGAGACTTCACAACTCTATTGGTTGCATAGCTTTGAGCCCTGAATATTTCGCAATTGTGTGTGGAGCAAACGTGTAGGAAGGTTAGCCTTGGGCCTGCCTTTTGTGCCCTGGGACAAATTTGTTCTCTCTTGCCTTTTCAAAGCTTTAGGTGGGGAAGATTATGTTTTAGTGCCCTTTATAACCTGGGGATTTTCAGGCTTTCTCCTTTCAACCTGAAGCACCCATTGATGTTTCAGGTAGACTGAGGGTAGATACTGTGACCAAACAGCCTGATGTCCCCATAAAGTCAGCTCTCATTCAGTGCGGTTACTAGATATTTGGGGAAACCCTAAAAGTTCTCACTGTACTCCTTACCTTAGCCATGTGACTCTGAAATTCACTGCCCAGTGGCCTCTTGTAAAATTAAAATGCTTCCCGCACTTCTTGGCAGGTTGTGCCACAGCCAGGAGGCCACTCATGCCATCAGGTAACCGCAGATGGCACTAAAAGCCAAGCGTGAATGCATCTTAATGCCACATGTCAATTACAGCAGCTCATTGATGCCTGGATCCTAAAGCCAAATCCAAATCACTAAACTGATAGTAGATTAGGGAAGGATACTTCCCTATTGCTCCACAAAAACATTCTTCAGGTAACTAACTGTCGCGACCCGCCGGATTCGAGAGGCAAGGAAGAGGGGCTGGGGATGAAATGAGAGGCTGACACACTGAATGAGAAGCTGCAAAACGAGGGACCTTTACGTCCTCTAGCACATGCCTTGTATACCCTGTGCTGCGCCTGCGCTTTGCCTGTGTCTCACGTTCAGGCTGCGTCCTTCTTTTTGGTTGGTACTTTCCCTGCATGCCTGGCTCCTGCACATATCGTGCTGTACACATGTGTTCATCCCATTGGCTGCTTTGTCCCATTGGCTGCCTGCTTAATGATGTGCATTCTTACTGCGCCACAGCTCGCCGAGGCCCCGGACAACTAACCAGCAGCGCAGTCACTGCAGATTTTAAACTAGCCTGTCCCAGAATGACAGCATTTGCATTGTGATCATTGGAATGTTCCTAAGGTCTCTTCCTCCCTTCGCTGTTCCAGGGTAGTAATTATGTTCCAGTTCGCCAGCAACCAAAGAAATCAGGAATAGCAAAAGTCACCTTCGACTTGTACAGGCCGAATCCCAAGGATGTCATTGGCTGCCTCAACGTGAAGGCCACCATGTACGAGATGTACTCGGTCTCCTACGACATCCGGTGCAATGGGCTCAGGTCCATGCTGAGGTAACGGATTCTGGGTGAACTGGGGGATATGACGCCTGCACAGGGCTCCGGCCACAGCTGAAGGTCACGCTAACTCATGTTCCACCGCAGTCTAATTCTTAGGCTGGGTTTGATTTCAGAAAACAGAAAGTCTTGAGCCACATATATTCTTTTTCTCCAAAGACCATTAAATACTAAATGGAAATGAAAAATAAACAATGCAGATAAATAAAAACCAAATTTCTTTTAAAAGTTAGAGCTGTGCCTTTAAAAACCTAAGCAGTCACAGCTAAGTCTGGAGCTGTGGGGAGTCCAGCCTGCTTTGTGCAGAGCAGGCACCAAAAGCTTGGAGAAATACTTCTGCACATATTTCTGTGACTGCTAACTTGCAGCTAGAAGGAAGGCGTGGTGACGTGGTCCTTCCCCATATGCTGCCCAGGCACATGGTCCCACGAGCCCGGAGCAGGCTGCCCACATGCACCACAGGGGCGCCTATAGGAGACAAGCCCCAAGTCTAAGCCCCAGGTCTATTTGAACAAATTCTGTGTGTTCACAAGGAGTACGCCCTGGGTACAGCCAGGACAGATACTTGCCTCTGAGCAGTCAGCTGTGTGACCTCTGAAGGTTACTTAACTTCTCTGAGCCTGTTTGTATCATCTTTAAAATGAAAACATTACTTCCAAGTTCTTTATGATTGCACAGATTCTAAATACACTTATTTCTAGCCCCCCAGGAAATTCATCACTGAGTCTCTAAAACACTAAATCTCTGTGAAGGGAGAGATGAAAGGAGGGAAACTGGAAGTGGCAGGTATTTGAGTCTAAAAAGGCTGCGACTCTCCATCCAAAGCTCTCTACACCTCCCCGTGGGGCAGGGTCTGCCTGCTTCTTTGAGAGTTCTGGTTCCTTCTTTCTAACTGTCCCCACAAGGGTTCCTCTGGCCTTCCCTGGGCATCGCCCATATGGAAATGCTTTGTAAATGGGACTGCTCTCCTCTGACAGTTTCCCATCCCTGCACAGCCTTGGCTGGATGGTGGTTTATGTGTGGCCTGTTTTCCGTGAGAACCATCAACAACCCCTGCCTGGACACACTTCCTGTCCTGGTGTTCAAATCTTGATTCTTAAGGGAGCTTCCTCTTTTTGCTGAGTTAGGAAAAAAATAATATAATTGCTTGATTGTTTTAAAGATAACAGGAGAGTTATACAACTTAGATAAGTATAGAAATGAGTGTAAAGTTCATCCTAAATCCCACCTCAGCAAATTTTTTTTTGAAAGACAAACAACCTCCTCGTCACTAATTCTCTCCATCTGAGAGATTCAATGGCACAGAAGTCAAGAAGGTCCCTAAATCAAAGGCAAGGCCTGCCTGGCCCCTTGGCGGATGCCCAGTCCATGTGCCCCCCGGGCTGTCTTTATGAAGCAACAGAACTTTACAACTGGAATGAAACCTTTTAGTCCTGGACTTGGGGTAGAAAATAAGAATTTGAGTTAGAGCTACTGGTTTAGTCTGAAACACCTTGAATGCCCAGCTCAACCATAGGATTAGATACTGTGGCAACGACAAGATGTTCCAGTCCTAAGCAAACTGGTTCATAGGTCACAAGTGCAGTGTTTGCTAAGACTTGCCTTCAGCCGGACTTCTTTCCCACCTAACAGCCTGATTTTAGTAATAAGTACCCCCACCCACCCAACCAGGTCCCCAGCTTAAGCAAGAGGCTATAGGACATGACAAGGTATATACACTCAGCAGTCAGCTTGCTTAGTGTTTTCTCCTTGCTGAGCAACTGGCCATATTTGGAAGTGGCTAGTGGAAGCCATGTCACTCAGAGGGTGATCCCAGGTCAGTGGGCACTCCCCAGAATGCATAATCCCAGACCTCCCAAATCAACCTCTGCATGTTAGCAAGGCCCCAGGGGAAGCCGGGTCAACAGCATGACTCATCATTGGTCCCTGGATCCAGGCATTCTGGCACACACACACCTGCTCTGAACGCATGTTGGATAGTATGTGTGAGTGCATGTGAACGTTTGTGAATTCACTTGTCACTGACACAGAACTAATTCTGCCCTTGTCTCCTCTGTTGCAGGAGCCTGCTGCGGTTCCTGTCCCATGCTGCCCAGGTGACTGGGCAGTTTCTCATCTACGCAGGCACCTACATGCTCCGTGTGCTCGGGGACACAGAACAGCAGGCTTCTCCTAAGTCCCGCTCCAGGTGGGGGTTCATGCATGAATAGGGATGCAGACTGCAGGGGCACAGCCAGCTCTTAACACAATGCCAACAGTCCCTTTCAGATGACAAATTTGGAAGAAGTGCATGTTCTTAACCACATATAGTTGTAAGCTCACGGTCTCTTCTACTCAGGAGTGGTACCTGGCTCAAAGGGGTTGTTTGGGTGATGCCGTGGGGGCTGTGCATGCCAGGCTGAAGAGAAATCAGGGAGGGGGTCCGTGGGCCAGAGGAATGTGGCTGGACAGCAGCATGTACTTGCATTTGGCCTTTTTAGCACTTCATTTCCTGCAGTAAATCACAATACTTTTAATATTTAAGTGCAATAATACTTCCCTGTACAATTATAAATCAGAGACATCCTGCAGTGGAGGAGGAGGGAGAGGGATCAGAGGGAGGGAGGGAGGAGCACAGGGGACTGAGGTGATGGTGCACGGGTGCATTGGTGAAGGAAACTCTATGGGGACTATACCTGAGGGGGTGGGGGGAACCAAATATTGTTTAAAAATGAACAATGCTGTAAAAAATAAAAAAAATTAAAAAATAATACTTCCTTGTGTCTTTTTCTTCTCCCCCAAAAAGCAAAACTCATCAAAAATCTGTTCTTCTAATGGATTTAATAGCATAAGTCTTTTTTAGTACTTGGTGCCACAGAAATAACGAGCTGTCAAGTGTTACTCTGTGTGTGTGTTATTAATGTGGGTCCTGAATGAACCCAAAGGGACCCAAAAGCTTAAGGACCTGAATTCTTGGATGCCTTCAAGGAGCAGTTTCAGCCTTTTCTTAAAAAAAAAATTTTTAAATTTGTTTAAAACCTAGACCCGATGCACAGCAGAGCTGTCTTTATTTCCTGGCCGTGCCAGTGTTGCTGGGGAGACCCTGGGCTGCAAGTGTGGAACTCTCTCTCAGGAAGCTTGGGGAGAGCAGAGCTAGCTCTAGCTGCAGACACAGTTGCACAGGGTTCTCCTAGGAGGTGCCAGGGAGTCTGTCTCTGCATCTCTCAGTCGAGCCTCCCTGTGAGGTGGTGTCACCTTCACATAGGCCCTCCTCTCCCAAAAGCCAGATGCCAGCCCCACAGGCAGCCCAAGCCCTGCGGCTCAGGGGAATGCTGTGGATCACACAGTCCAAGCCAGCATGACCTGCACACTCCACCCCACAGACCAGAAAAGATAAGCCCTGACCATTAGGGTTGAGTTCAGGAACATGGTACCCCAAATGGAATGGGGGTATTGCCACTAGAACTAGGGGAACAGATGCTAGGAAACAAATCTACTCCCTTTCAGATTTATGGCTTTCCTGTTAAGAAACCTTGGGTGGGGGCCTCTCTCCCCTTCCAGCTGAGAGATGTCTCAGGCATGGTGAAGGCGCCCTAACCAGGCCTGCACCATTACCTGCAATTCCAGCCCAAAGACCAGGAGTGGAACCTAGATGTTTCCTCCCTCCGCAAACGCAGTCCCCCTTCAGTCCCTGTCATCATGTGCAGGGAGAGGGGCAGCCCAGACCCCGCAAATCTGCCTGCACTAAGTAGGTTCTCCCGTCTGCTGCATCAACACAAAACATATGAGACTTTAATGAAAAGGAGGTCCACTCCAATCCTGGGGGGACCCACAGTTTCTGAACTGCCTTGTTGGAGAAGTGGAACCTTGGGCCAATCCCCTGCAGGCAGGAAAGGCAAAGGTAAGGCAGTCAGTTGTGGGAGGATGCCTCAAAACAGCCTCTTTTCAAATATCATAGCCAAAGAAATAGGTGTTTTGGCCCTCCCCTCCCCCCGTCTGTGTCTGCTCTCTCCAGTCCAAGACAGCTGCTGCAGAGCGAGCGCCACAGAGATTGCTCAGATGCGATCCCACTGCTGCCCCAGAGCCTCTTCATAAATGTTTTCTATATAAGGAGCTCTACTGAAAGCCCTGCCCACAGGGAGTGGGGGGGGGAGGGGAGCAGCCTGAAATTAGGGGGCCTCTGAGCTTGCTTTCCAGCACCTTCCGAGGAGGCAGCTCCTGCCTTGAGCTGACTGTGGGCTGGCGTCACTTCCCAAGGATTCAGTTGTCCTGAGAAGCCACTGCCTGGTTTCCAAAAAAGGAATTTTCCCTGAAGTTCCTGATCCCGTTGACTCAGCCGCACCCACCCTTGGCCTGGCCTTTTCTTGCCGTATCCAGACAGCACCCCAGCCTGGTAGAAAACGGGAATGAAGCAAAAGGAGAATGTGAGAGGGATGGGGTTTTGCCATCCCATCATCGGAAGGGAGTTAAATTCAACAGAAGGGCTGCCTGGAGTGTGGAACTGCCCCCTTCACCCAGCCCTTCCCAGAGTTACCAGGCAGCCCGTGTTGGAGCAGCTGACACAGGGAAGGGGTCTCACAGCCTCCAGGCTGGGACATCCAAGGGCTGCACAGAGCCAGATGCAAAGGTTGATTTGGCTGACATCAAAGGCCCAGGGAGCCTTTGGCAGGCAGAAAGGAAAACTCCTGCATTTACGGGAATGGGCCCAACAGGTGCTCCTCTCTCCTGTCTGTGGCGGGATTAGGTGATGCACATTCCAAACATGACACTTTGTGGTATGAATCTTAGTTTCTCTTAACCCACATTTAGGTCACTGGCTCAGGGAGGAGTGGCTGTAGCGGAGGCGGCTGAGCTGGCTTCAGCCTCAGCTCCTGCCCTGCGCTGCAAAACTCCACCAAGGGTGGCTTCCAGGGAGAAACCACTGCAAGGTTTTGGGGATCAGTGATACCTATGTCACCCACTGTGTCTGTTCACATCTTGTGGGTCCCTTTCAAGGGCCCAAGGTCTTTCCTTGTGTCCATGATTCACTGACTTCTGAAATTAAGATTCAGAAAAGAGGAAGACTTTCTTAGGAGATCGGGTTTGTGATCCTTGCATTTCTGCGTGGACCTTGTTATTTGCCAATATACCCTGCTTTTTGAGGTCACGGACAGTCAGCTCCACACCTAAGGCTAGATTCAAGGTGCCCCTCAGGAGGTCACCTAGGACCCTGTCAGGGGTACTCTGAGGGGTCAGAGTACACATCTGGCAGGGACAGAGGGTGCCACGATGAACTGTTCTAAAAGTCATCAGCTCACAGTCCAAGCAAACTGGTTTAAATCGCCCTCTGTGAACACACTTCCAGAAAATCAGTTCCTAGACCAGTTTTCTGGGCACAGGTTTAAAAGTAAACAGATTCCCAAGGCCTGGAGACAGCACACGAGGAGGGAGTGCCCAGCTAGGGGTGTTCCTAGGGGGTCGGTGGGGTATCAGAATATGTTTCTGGAAGCTACCAGCTCTGGCAGAGAGCAAGGCCCCTCAGGAGGTCACCTAGGACCCTGTCAAGTCCCACTGGGGGTGCAAGAAGAGTGGAGACACTTATGCTTTGCATCTGTGGCATCAGGAACTGGCTCCAGCGCTGCAGCCTGAGTTGGTTAGCAAGGTGAGGCCCCTGGAAGCCAGTGGAAATGTGGTGACTGAAATGGGAACAAAGGACAAGCCCAGCATCTTTGTCTCCCAAAGGTCCAGAACTGATGCTCTGAAGACCTGGAATCTCAACTCCCCTTGTCCCATATTGGTCATTTGCAAATTAGAAATAAGTAAGTGAATGAATTTTAAAATCAGCAATGCCCTTCATCAGCCTGGCACTTCTCTGCTCACCATAATTCTACCCCTGCCAAGGTACCAAGCATGTGCTGGCTGGCTGGCCCCAAGAGCCCAAATCACTGGCATTGCCATAGGTTTTTTGAGACTAGGAGCCTGAACTGGAATCCACTTTCTCAAAGGCAAGTTCTTTTTCTCCACACACAGCACACAGTGAAGTGAAGTAGGCATATCCACCCCCGCTGAGTGACACCTGGCCCTGAGCTGACCCAGCTGGGGACACAGGAATGACATCCTGTGACGATGTGGCCTTTCTCCAGGAAGCTGTGCTCTGCATGACTGTGTCTCAGGAAGGAGGCACAGATGGTGATTCATGCCCAGGGGGATGCATCTCCCACTCAGGAGGCCTCCTGCCCTTTGATTCCTGCTCCTTTGTTATAAATGAATTGTATGGAAAGGAAACTTGGGCCCGCATCTGTTCACCTTTCTGCCACTTCTCTCTTTTATGTGCCTCTTCCTGGCTACCGTTACCTCAGCTTCTACAGAAGGATTTGAACTACCTCAGGAGAACCATTGCAAACAGTTGCCTTATCTCAGGGGCTATTGCTTTTATGCTACCCTGAGAAAAGCACAGCCCTGAAGGGGTTTCACTGAAGCCTCAGAGAGGACCAGAGATGCCCTTCCAGCTGCACAATTGCCCACAAACCCTTAGAGCAGGTTGGAGTCTCATTTCACACTCAACGTAGGCCCCATTTTCAATTTCAAACCTCCATTCCAGGAGGGGTCATACCCCAAGATTTCACCCTAGGTTTTCTGGAAGCTAAGATGCCAAGGCACTGGGGTGTATTCTGACCCCAAGAGGTCACTGGCTGTAACTTTGGGGGTCAGTCTTGAAGGCTAGACTGCATCTCCCCCACATCTCCTGCCCAGACTCCTCACACCTCTGTATGCACAGCACCACTGTGGAATACCAACACCCCCTGACCTGGTCACAGGGGGGAGCAACTGTGCCCCACCCACCAAGCCAGGGTAGCAGGGCCCTCCACCTCACAGCTATTATGATGTGGAGGCTCTTGGCCAGGTATGGACAACAAGTTAAGCAGCTTCCAGGCCCCACCATATCCTCCAGTACCTCAGTTCCTCAATCTTGTACTCCTGACTCTTCCCAAAGCACTCCATCTTTTCGTTGTGAACTCAGCCCCTCCTCATCCTACCAATTCTACTCCTCTTCTGTTTTACTCCTTCAACCACGCAATGGCTGAGTGGAAACTTGGGGTCCTCCCAGGAAGGTTGGGGGCAAAGGAGCAGAAATACTCAGCCTGCATTGTCAAAATATAATTCATGTCACGAATGCCCCACATTCTCTCCTCAAGACCTGGACTTCTTAGACATGATGCCTGAGAATGCAACAGGGGAAGGCAGTTAAGGTGGGATGACTGGGCCTCCCTGTTGGCGCAAGGGGTTAAGACGCAACTTATAAAGCTATTCGCAGTCACTGCAGCATGAGTTCGATCCCCAGCCAGGGAGCAACTCACATGGCACAGCAGCCCTCTCCTGACTTGCCCATTGCTCCCCTCAGCAGTGTATTTCAATCTGCCTGTTCTGTTCCCCACTCTGTGGTGAATCCTCTCGCCCCCCACACCTCTGGCCTATACCCCAGTTTTTGTATGCATAAATAAATAAATCTTTTTAAAATAAATAAATAAAGATACCAAGATCTAAAAATTGTAAAAAAAAAAAAAAAAAAAAGATGGGATGACCTTCCAGTCACACACCAACTCTTGCCTCACCAGTGTATGACTAG